ACTGCACCTGGACGGTGGGCTCCAAAACTGTGGGAATCCTCAGACTTTGAACTGAATATGCCGTAATCCCTACCGGTGCTCAGCCTGGATCAAGGCTGTGAGCTTCAAATACGTGAGCTCATGATTTCCTCACAGTGACCCAAGGCCAGCTCAAGAGGAAGCAAGTGCTCCAGGGCTTTCATCGAAGGTGCTAAAGCAGCAACAGAAAACAAATCCGGCCAGACTCCTGCCCTACAACCTCTTAGCAACCCCCTACTGCCCCCATAAAATCGTGATGAAATTTCATTAGGGAGAAAACTGCTCCTCGCCATCAAGAGAGGAGCAGCCTCTTCACCTTGCTGATAACAGCCTAACTTAATTAAAGATAACAACAACGAAGGAGGGAGCAGCCCATTTTATTTTTTCCGAAAACACAGCTTCGATGACTTCCCCCTTGGCACAAGCCAAATAAAAATTCCTTATGGTTTCCCCTGGCTTATGGCTCCCTCACTGAGTCATCTGTGTGTGATCAAAACAGAGGTACCCTTGAGGTTGCACAAGCCTTAGGAAGTCAAGTGAGAAAGGCAGAGACAGAGATAGGAGGGGGACAGACACAGGCACACACACACACAGTGGACGGAGAGTGCCCTGCGGGCACCAGAACCTCTCCTTGGGTAACATTCCCCAAAGTTAGACTCCTCTTCAGCTGGGGCTCTAAAACAGTCCGCTTCTTCAGCTTTTAAGGACAATACCGGGAGGGTGGCCTTTAACCTGCAAGTCGACGGAGTTCTGGGCAACAAGGGGAGTGAATGGGCTGAAATTCGAGAGGAGCAAACAAGTGTGTAGCTCACGGAGGATGGCCCCGTGCCGCTGCTTCTTCCACGCTTACCCTACACCGCCTGTCCCGACTGCTGACTGCAAGTATTCATTACAGTTCTTTGTCTGGGCAATGACCCACACAAAGCCCCGGAGAAAATAACAAGATGCTGGCACGGAACAAGTCTTACTGCCATCGGGAGGAGTGGACACCACCTGCCCACTACTCCCAACTCTTCCTCCCCGCGCCCCCGCCCCGCTCCCTCCTTTGCTCCCCACCTGGATTTCTTAACACAGAAATGGCCACGGCGCCGGCGGAGGTGGGAGGAAGCGGTCAGGAGCCCGAAATCCAACTTTGGTGACCAGCACCAACTTGTGGCGAGGGACTCCGGCGTCCGGGCCGGCCTGTGGCGGCCAGGCAGGGCGCGACGCCCGTCTCGGGCTCGGATCCGGCAGCAAGGGAAGGTGGGGCAACCCGGCGGAAGAGGGGTGGCAGGGCCAGCACCGCGTCCAGCTGCGGCTGATCATCGATCGTCGGTAAACAAGCGGGCCGCCCGCCCTGAGGCCAGGGCCTCTCCCGGCCCCGAGAAAGCCCAGCATGGAAGCAGACCCGGGTCCGGCGGCGACAACGCGGCCTGGGGCCCCCTCCCTCCCGTCGCCCGCAAGGCCGCCGTCGCCCC